CAACACGTCTCTTCGATCATCATGGCCATGTTGCGACACATGCCATTGTTACTACCAGAGGTAGAACCGAACTTTTTGTATTGTGGGTTCAAAAATTCGTTTACAAGTTTTTTAAAACAATATAACATTAACAAAAATAAGTCAATACACTACTATAATTGTAGCCTATGCTTTGGCATTCCATCAAAACACTTTCTAGCAACACCGAATACATATCAACCAAACCTATGTCAATCATGGTACATCATCCCAACAGCTCCACTTCCATTGCTAGTAAGCCCCAATGGAAGTACAACCTTGAAGAAGGGAGATAATGGTTATAGTATTAGGACTGTAGCAAGCTGTTCTTATTTCATTAAAGAAATACAAAGCCTTATTTAAATTTCCATTCTTTGCATAACCAGAAACTATTGTATTCTTGGTGACAACATCGATTTCATTCATCATGCTGAAAAACATCATAACACCGCTTTAAATGGCCACATTTCCCGCATATAATAACAAGAGAATTATAATTTATATATAGGAATGTCTACTGCCATTGTCCTTCATAACACGTAGCGATGTACTCATTTACTCAAGTCCCAGGTCTAATGGAACCCAATTGCCCACTGGCTGCAAGAACACAAAAGATAGTTCCAGTTGATGGGATCATATGCAAAACCATCATCCTTTGAAACACAACCTGTAACGCTCCGAATTCTCGGAACCCATAGCGTTAAAAATAATCAATCTTTCTTTGGATCAACCCCTTTGTTGTTAACCAAAGTAATTTGTAAATTAGAAAGTTTTTGGGTTTTGAAAACATATAAAAATATAATGTGAAGTAGTTATTCATATAAACTTATAAAATTATGGCGAAATTTTGTTTTGGAAAACATTTGGAGGCGATTAAGCAATTTCGAATTGACAACAGCAGAAGAAAAATATATTTGGCCTAGCAAATATTTGTTAAAATTTATGAAATTTTTACAGGGACTGAAGAATTCATATATTTACCATATATAAAAATTTGGGAGCTTGATAATAACGACTGAAGCATGAAAATATTGCTCGAACATGCTAGATGGAAAACCCGGATTTGAAACAACGCAATTTACCAAGATGGACATAACTTTTTCTCTAAATAATGTTTTAAGGAAATTCCAAAAGTCACTATTAGAAGACTCATAGATCTTTCAAACGCCATTAATTTCACTCTAAAATATGCAACGTAGTCCAAATTATACCATTTTCAAATGGAAGAAAAAATCTGGAATTATAATCAGTAGTGAATAAACTTCGGTCATAGTCATACCAACGTTTCCAAATTATGGTTGACATGAATAGCATATAAAACTGAACGAAACAAATGTTTAAACATCTTTAAAAGTGCAGTCTAATTATTCATAATATGTTTACATAAATTGAAAATTTTACTAGAAAGTTGAGAGCTTTTCAAATTGCCGAGCACTTGCCACCATGCCAAACCCCCGCCATGCCTCAAATCAACCTGTGAGATTATAGTGGGTGTGAGTACTGTGAATAATACTCAGTGGGAAGACACTATACTAAATGATAAAATATATATATGTTTTCAGAAATGCAAACTTTGATTATTCATGTCATCGACAATTTATTTCTCTTATTTTGAACCACCAAAGGGTGTTTCCTTCATGAGTAACACAATAATAGTGTTATCTTCAATCTCTTTCTCTTATTTGAGCCACCAAATGGTACTTCCATCATGAGTGACACAATAATGAGTTTGATGCAAAACGAAAACAAATAATTCTTAAACCACTTACATAAGTGCCGAGATCACCCCTACCTTAATGCTTGAAATTTGAATACCCTTTTGTGCTCAATACGTAAAAATTTAGCATACTCTTTGCCTCCTCTTTAGAAAAATTTCAGATTAAAAGTACCTTAGGCTATGGAGAAGGGGCAAAACAATTTTATGTATATGTATAAATGGAGGGTATAAATGACTTGGAAGAAATGAAACATATAGTGTTTATATAATTCCATGTATAAATCTCACACATGTTAGAAATTTGAATAAATTGAAATGAAAAGTTAAAAAAACCCGTTTCATATGATTAAACAATTAAAAGAATAATTTGATGTTTCATTTCATGGATTTAAATTTGTTGTTAAATGTCTTGACTATTCCACTAAGTTTTCAAACGTGTTTGATTAGTGCTTTGAATATTCAATCAATTATGAAAGTTTTATTTTTATTTTTATTTTTTTTGTCACTACAACTCTCTCCCACTTAAAATAATTTTGTCCTCGAAATTTAACTTACTTGTTTAAGGACGTCCGGATACTTGGCTAAAACGTCTTCTTCCCTTTCCCAAGTGGCCTCACTCTCACTATGTCTACTCCACTGGACTTTGACTAATGAAATCTTTCGATTTCTCAGAACATGGTCTTTTCTCTCTAGAATCACTATAGGAACTTCTTCGTATGTGATATCACTCTAAACATCTAGTGATCGAACATTCACCACACGATTAGGATCTAAAATATACTTTTTCAACATAGAAACGTGGAATACGTTGTGCACTGCTGATAGTTCGGGTGGCAATGATAAACGATATGCGACATTCCTAATTTTTTCAAGAATCTCAAATGGACTAATAAATCTTGGACTCAATTTCCCTTTCTTCCCAAATCTTAGTATTCCTTTCATTGGTGCCACTTTGAGAAACACTTTCTCTCCAACCTCAAAAGTCAATTCTTTTCTCCTTTTGTCAGCATAGCTCTTTTGACAATCTTGGGCGGTCTTAATTCTTGATCTAACTTTATGTGTAGCCACCACAGTCTTCTCGACTAATTCTGGACCTAAAACTTTCCTTTCACCAACTTCGTCCCAGTATAATGGCGAACGACATCGATGACCATACAAAGCCTCATATGGTGTCATACCAATAGTAGCTTGGAAGCTATTGTTATACGCAAATTCAACTAAAGGTAAATGGTCTTCCCACTTACCACCCAAGTCGAGGACACGAGCTTTCAACATATCTTCAAGCACTTGGGTAGTTCATTCAGATTGTCCGTGAGTCTGAGGATGGTATGTAGTACTAAATGTTAACTTGGTACCCATAGCTTCTGAAGGCTTATCCAAAACTTCAAAGTAAACCTTGGGTCTGTGTCCGATACAATAGAAACTGGAACACCATGAAGCCACATAATCTTTCTGATATAAATCTGTGCGAACTGTTCTAAGCTATAGGTTGTCTGAACTGGCAAGAAATGAGCAGATTTTGTAAGTCGATCTATAATCACCCAGATCGCATCATGACCTCTCACTGATCTAGGAAAACCAACGACAAAATCCATTACAATTTTTTCCCACTTCCATTCGGGTAAGTCCATAGGATTCGATGGCCCCAACGGCCTCTGATGTTCAGCTTTTACTTGTTGACAAACCATACATTTAGACACAAACAAAGCTATATTCTCCTTCATATTTCTCCACCAAAATCTATCACGCAAATCTTTATACATTCTAGTTCCACCTGGGTATGCAACATAAGGAGTGGAATGAGCTTCAATCATAATCTCATTCATCAATATTTTATCCTTCGGCATATACAATCAAACCTTAAACATCAAGGCTTTGTCTTCGGCTATTTCAAATCCTTTCCTCTTCTCAGTTCCCATATCAGCCCTGATCTTTTCCAAAAAGGAATCATATTTCTGAGCAGCTACTATTCTGTTACTGAGTGTCGGCTGCACAGTAAAACTTGCTAACATTGTCGATGTCCTTACTGGTGACGTTAAAACTTCAATTCTCAGGTTCTCAAAATCTTTGATCAAATGATCATGCCTCGTACAAAGTATTGACAATTGTCCCATATTCTTTCTACTCAATGCATCAACGACTACATTGGCCTTCACCGGATGGTACAAGATTGTGCAGTCGTAATCTTTCACCAATTCTAACCACCATCGTTGTCTTATATTTGACTCTTTCTGGGTGAAAAAGTATTTGAGACTCTTGTGATCAGTATAAATCTCACACTTGCTCTCGTATAGGTAGTGGCACCAAATCTTCAAGGCGTGTACTACCGCTATTAGTTTGAGATCATGTATAGAGTAATTCTGTTCATATTGCTTCAATTACCTCAAAGCATTAGCAATGACTTTCCCATGTTGCATCAAAACACATCCTAAACCAAGCTTGGATACATCATTATAAATCACAAAACCTTCCGAACCGTCTGGAATAGTCAACACTGGTGTAGATACGAGTTTATCTTTTAACTCTTGGAAACTCTGCTCGCATTTCTCTAACCATACAAACTTGGTACCCTTCTGAGTCAATTCTGTCATAGGACTCACTATCTTGGAAAATCCTTCTATAAATTTTCGATAATGACCGGCTAAACCCAGAAAACTCCGCACTTCTCCAACATTTGTAGGTTTTGGCCAATTGGTCACAGCCTCAACTTTGGACTGATCCACTTCAATTCCTCATGTTAAGACAGTATGGCTTAGAAATCCAACTCGATCTAGCCAAAATTCACATTTCTTAAATTTGGCATATAACTTTTCCTCACTCAGTGTTTCTAAAACTATCCTCAAATGTTCTTCATGTTGATGAGACTTTCTTGAGTATATCAATATGTCGTCAATAAATAGGATGACAAACATGTCCAAATACCGATAGAACACTCTATTCATCAAGCCCATAAACACCGTACGGGTATTCCTCAAGCTAAAGGGCATTACCGTAAACTCATAATGCCCATATCAGGTCCTAAATGCCGTCTTTGGTATGTTAGTCTACTTGATTTTCAACTAATGATAGCCTGACCTTAGATCAATTTTTGAGAACACGTATGCATCCTACGAAGGGGATACTTATTCTTAATCCTCAACTTATTTAGTTCACGGTAGTCGATGCACATCCTCATCATACCATATATTTTCTTTACAAAGAGTATCGGAGCTCCCTATGGAGATACACTTGGTCTAATGAACCTTTTGTCTAGAAGTTCTTCAAACTACATCTTCAACTCTTGTAATTCCTTTGGTGTCATTCGATATGGAGCTTTGGACATTGGGGAAGTTCCAGGTATCAGATCTATTGTGAACTCCACTTGTCTATCAGGCGGAGTACTCGATAGATCTTCGAAAAACACGTCAACATACTCTCGTACTATTGGCACATCATCTAATACTTTCTCTTGAGTGGATTTGCTCGTAAGACTGACAAGATATCCTTGACAGTCAGCCTTTCTCAACATGCTCTCTGCTTTTAAAGCTGAGATAATGCGAGGAAGTGCCCTAATCCTAGATCTATAAAATCTGAACTCCTCTTTTCCCGATCTTCGAAAAATTACTTCCTTCTTAAAACATACCATACCTAAAATAATATCAAATTTTTTCATCTCTATAACATACAAGTCAGCCTTTAAAGTCAGTCCATCAAAATCTATCTGTACCACTTTTACTATCCTATCCGTATAAATAATTCTACCTGATGGCATACTCACCTCTAGTACACTATCATTCTTCTGACATGAAGTATTAATCTTATCTAGACATGCATTAGATATGAACGAATGTGTCGCACTGGAATCAGTTAGGACGTAAACAGGACTATTAGAGATGGATAAAATACCTACAATCACATCCGGATTTTTGGCAGCCTCATCGTGAGTCAAAGCAAACACCCTTTCTTTTCCTTTTTTTTTTTTTGTTCAGGTTTCTTAATTAATGGGCACGAGGAAGCTACATGGCAGGGTTGACAACACTTATAGTAGACATACTTTCCATACAGACATTTTCCTTTGTGAAACTTGTTGCACTTAGGACATTGGGATACATGATTGCTTGACTAACACGCATGCATCTGCTTCTTAAACTGTCTTGTATTGTTATTCTTGTCCTGCCACTTTATTTTCCCAAAGTCCTTACGCTGTCCCTAATTTACTAACTTTACCCCCCCCAGTAGGTCACTGTTTGAGCTTTCTTTACCACTGCTTGAAAAGTGGTGAGATCATATGAACTCACAATCTGCCCGATCTCTGGGCGCAGGCCCCTTTTGTAATGTTTTGCTTTCATGAGCTCGGTACTTACAAGATGTGGGGCATATCGGGACAATTCCTCAAATTTGTTCTCACACTCAGAAAGTTCCATATCTCCCCTTAAGAATTTTGTCTCCTTGTGGTCTCACAGAGCTTGTGGGAAAAACTTTTCTATTAGCTCCATCTTGAACTGATTCCATCCCATTGTTCCTCCTCGATGCGAATACGTGATGCGGATTCCCACTAATGGCCTGCTCTCCCGATTAGCATAAATTATGCACATAATACTTTTTGAATTTCTGGGCAAGAGACATGCCAAAAAATCTTCTCGATAGTATGCAACCACTCCTCAACTGCTAGAGGGTCCTTTCCACCATCAAAGGTAGGTGGTCGGCATCTACAAAATTGTTCTACCATCGGAACAGGTAGTGCAGTCGGGTATGTTGGTGGCACCAGCGGAGCTTGTGAAACTAGTGAAACTTGAGGTGCTGGAGGTGTAACCTAAGCAACTTGAGGTGCTAGAGGTGTAACTTGAGCAGCCAAGGCCAGTTTCAACTCATCAATCTCCGCTTTAACTCTCCAATTGTCCTCGCTTGTGCCATATTCTTATATGCCAGAATAATTGCAATCTCATTTAAAGGAGTCAACGATATTTGTGCAACATAGGAAAAAGATTCATAGCTCAACATCTTTTATTATTGTCTCATACAAATCCTTCAGGAGACAAAAAAAATTAAAAAAGCGTCTGGCGCTATTCCACAGCATCATAAAAGAAATCCTACTAAACTCCAACAACAATTAAACCTGATAAAAACTACTAAAATTCACTTATTCATCATTGCTATAATAATCATTAATCCAGCCTCCATAAATTCTAGGTTTCTTAGAAAACTAAACCTCATCATCCGAAATAGGTGGAGGTGCATCTTCACGAATGTGCATCTCGGTAGGTACACTATCGTCCTTGGTGATCTCAAGTCGGGCCAGCTCCCACCGCTCAATTAGCTCTGCACAAAAGGCCTCATAATCAATCTCTCGAGGTAAGGTAGGCACAGCAACTTTCCATAAATAATTATAAATCGATTCAACCACCTCTAGCCACTCTTCTAGCAATGTCTCAATAAAGAGGCGAGCGGCTCGATGACCAGTGACCACATAGCCTAGTTGTCTCACTTCCCTCCATCTTACAACATCTCCCAAATGTGTTGGCCCATGTTGCGCATTGGATTCCACCGATACTCTTCATGTTACCTCAAGATTTGATATCAATGAGGCATCGATGAACTTGTCTTCCTACAAGTTTTCTTAATCCGTACCATCTGAGTCATACCAATTATTCAAAATCCAACAAGTGGGTGTCTAATAAGTTTTAGTTAATTCTCAAAGACTAAAACAAGCATTTAATCATGCTCTATAAAAATACTTGGTACATTACTAATTATCTACAAAAGGTACTCAAACTGTACGATGATATTCATACATACATTTCAAATATTGCATCTCAAATAAACTTTCTCATAATCATCGCATAGATGCAATCACATTTGTGAAACTTTGTCTACCTCAAAATTTGCATGGCGCGGTATGGCAGGCACAATGCTCAGGATCCTCATTAGGAAAAAAATCGTTCAACTTATATGTGACACAACACTCCTAAGATTTACTTTCCAATGTGAGTCTACAGAAATGAATCATTGCTCTGATACCAAGTTGTAACGCCACAAATTCTCGAAACCCAAAGCGTTAAAAATAATCGATCTTTCTTTGGATCAACCCCTTTGTTGTCCAACAAAGTAATTTGTAAATTAGAAAGTTTTTTGATTTTGAAAACATATAAAAATATAATGTGATGTAGTTATTCATATAAACTTATAAAATTATGGCAAAATTTGGTTTTGGAAAATATTTGGAGGCGATTCAGCAATTTCGGATTGAACAACAGCGAAAGGAAAATATATTTGGCCTAGCAAATGTTTGTTAAAATTTATGAAATTTTTATAGGGACTAAAGCATTCATATATGTACCACATATAAAATTGATAAGCTTAATAAAAAAGCAGAAAAATAAATAATATTAACTTGGTCCTGGGCATCTACCATTATACCCACAATGATTGGGGGAATTTCTTGCTAAAGCTTCTGGATCTGGGAAGGAACTGCTCACTACTACTACATGTTTTTAATAACCATAGAACCTTATAGCGGATTCCACAGAAATCAATCTTTGGGAAAAAAAGACGCAATCAAGAGCTTGCATATACGCGGTAGTCTAACTTTATCCGCTTCTGGTATATGCGCCACTCTGAAATACTGTTAGACATCGGACACGAAGTTCTCTATTGAAAATGAAGTTTCATCTCTTACTAGTTGGTTGCTCCCTACATTTTTTTGAAGTGAATTGCATCTTGCGGCCAACAAGCTCTATTTATAGTGGAAGTGCCATAAAGTACAAACCAAGATCCATGATACGAAAACTTCCAAGCCGTGTGGTCCAAAAATTTGGGGGCTTGATGATGACGATTGAAGCATGAAAATATTGCTCGAACATGCTGGATGGAAAACCCAAATTTGAAACGATGCAGTTTACCAAAATGGACATAACTTTTGTCTCTAGATAATGTTTAAAAGAAATTCCAAACTATTAGAAGACTCATAGACATTTCAAACACCATTAATTTCATTCTAAAATATGCAACGTAGCCCAAATTATACCATTTTCAAATGGAAGATAGAATCTGGAATTATAATCAGCGGTGAATAAACTTTGGTCGACATGAACAGCATATAAAACTAAACGAAACGGATGTTTAAACATCTTTAAAAGTGCCGTCTATTTATTCATAATACGTTTACATAAATTAAAAATTTTACTAAAAAGTTGAGAGCTTTTCAGATTGTCGAGCACTTGCCACTATGCCAAACCGTCGTCATGCCTCAAATCAACCTATGAGATTATAGTGGTTGTGAGTACTACGAATAATACTCAGTAGGAAGACACTAGAGTAAATGATAAAATACATATATGTTTTCAGAAATGAAAACTTTGATCATTCGAGTCACCGTCAATTTCTTTCTCTTATTTTGAACCACCAAAGGGTGCTTCCTTTATAAGTAACACAATAATAGTGTCACCTTCAACCTCTTTCTCTTATTTGAGCCACCAAACGGTGTCTCCTTCATGAGTGACACAACAATAAGTTTGATGCAAAACGAAAACAAATAATTCTTAAACCACTTACACAAGTGCCGAGATCACCCCTACTTTAATGCTTGAAGTTTGAATACCCTTTTGTGTTCAATATGTAAAAATTCAGCGTACTCTTTGCCTCTTCTTTAGAAAAATTTCAGACTCAAAGTGCCTTAGGCTATGAAAAAGGGGCAAAACAATTATATATATGAATGTATAAATGGAGGGTATAAATGACTTGGAAGAAATGAAATGTAAAATCCAATTGGCCTTTAAAAAAAGGTTGGCAGCCCTTCATTGAACATTTAAGAGAATAATTGTTTAGGTTTCATTTCAATGTATTTTTATGTGAGAAATAAATGTAAAGTTTTTTGGCATTTCATAACCTTTGGCATTTTAAATTTTTTGTTTTTTAGTATATATATTTTCAAATGAAACATATAGTGTTTATATAATTCCATGTATAAACCTCACACACATTAGAAATTTGAATAAATTGAAATGAAAAGTTAAAAAAAAAATTTATTTCATATCATTAAACAATTAAAAGAATAATTTGATGTTTCATTTTATGCATTTAAATTTGTTGTTAAATGTCTTGACTATTCCACCAAGTTTTCAAACGTGTTTGATTAGTGCATTGAATATTCAATCAATTATGAAAGTGCTTTTTTTATTTTTATTTTTTTATTTTTTGTCACTACACTACCAATGCCTTGTTTGTATAGTCCTTTTGTACAAGTCGTGAGATCGTCACTGCCCATGACACCATATCCTTATCACCTGCTTTATTGAAAGCCAGTAACGAATAATTCATATTCCCACATCTTGAGTACATAACCATAAGCGATGTCTCAGCATGTTTACATAATTGAAATCCAAAGGTTACTATCTATACATGCACAATTCTTCCCACTTCAACATTACCATCTTTCGCAACTGTAGAGATCAATGATCTAAAAGTCTATTGATCAAGCATTAGATTCTCATCCTTCATTTTGTAGATTTAAGAATTCTCTAACATCCCCTACCACTGAATAGACATTAATCAAGCTATTCCAAGAAACAATATTTTTGTCATTCAATGATTCAAATAACTTTCGGGGAACTACTAAAAAATTAAAAATTAAAAATTTTTGTGGGGCACTTGACTGTACATGACCCCGTGTGGGTTCGTCCCTAGTAATAGCTACCATTTACTAAACCCTTCACTGCAAAAAAAAAAAAAAAAGGTTTAAATCACGGATTTTTTGTTCCTAAAACCATAATATTCGTTGCTATTTCTCTTTAATAACAAAATATAAGGAACCACAAATCCGTTGTTAATTTGAGGATTGCTGATAGTTGCCAACGGATCGTGCCGTAGGTAAATAGTAAACATTTTACCAATGAAAATTAATCTTGACTATTACCAATCGGCTTTCCATTGGCAAATGTCTACCATTATAATTAGTAAAAATTGATATTGTAAATAGTCGCATAGATGCGATGAGTGACAAAAAATATTTATTTAATATTTATTATTGTTATTGTTGTTTAATGATTATAATTTTTTTAAATTTTAGCCTACTAAATTAGGCCCAAAAAATTTTTAACCACTTATTGGACCACTAATTTATAGAGGTGCATCTCCAAAGTTCTTGTTGAAAACTTTCTGTTAAGTTTTATTGTATTGGCAATTCTTTAGACCAAAAGGACTAAAATAAAATGTTGTAAAAGTCAATGAGTATGTTGCAATATTTTATAGATGATTTAGGTAAGTTAGGGTTCGAGTTTGGAACAAGAAAAAGAGCCACCGGATTTTCCATGTCCTATCGCCCACCTCATGCTCAAGGGACAGAAATAGAAAATCTGTTACCCACCTATCGCTCGAGTGAGGTTGCTAAGCTCTCACTTTAGTGACAGACCGTCGCCGCATGTTGCTG